CTTATTACAAAAACAACTAAGACAAACAACGGCATTCTAGTAATCATTCCACTTGTGTATTCTTCATCAGGTTTGTCTGTTGTTGTTGATTCAACACAGTCTTGAAGTACTGAAGGCAATGTTTCAAGATTCTTAGTACTAGTTCATATACTATATTGGTGCCACGTTATTTAAGTTCTGGTGACTGGGAATCGCCAATATTAAACTATGATGTGACAAGGTCTACAATACATTTCAAAGGCAGTGTCTTATGGCAGTGTGCAAGCCTAAACACTCAACAACAAATAAGGAGAAATAAAAAAGAAGGTGCTGGACAGGTGGTAGAAGACTCCAACCAACAAAGCAATCGTGCATAACTTTTTAATAAAACATGATAATTGCTGGAGATAGGGGCACAATCTGCCTGCCAATTATATATGTTAAAGGTAAAGGTAAAGGTTCCCTTGCTCGAAAGCCAGTCGAATCCGACTCTAGGGTTGCGGTGCTCATCTCCGTTTCAAAGCCGAAGAGTCAGCGCTGTCCGAAGATGTTTCCGTGGTCATGTGGCCGGCATGACTAAACACCAAGACGCACGGAACGCTGTTACCTTCCCACCGAAGTGGTACCTATTTATCGACTTGCAATTTCTTGCTTTCGAACTGGTAGGTTGGCAGGAGCTGGAACTAGAGATGGGAGCTCACTCCATCATGCGGCACCCGGGTCTCGAACTGCTGAACTACTGACCTTCCACAGCCTGCAGTTCAGCATCTTAACCACTTGAGCCACCGCATATATGTTAGGTGTGCTCTAAAAAGGGATTCTTGGAAGGTGGAAGTGGTGACAATGGTAATTAAGTAACAAGATCATCCACTAAAACTTCTTGTTTTAGGTTATTTTTAAGAAAGGAAAAGTGACAACTTGTAACTAAAAGAACACAGTTTGAGTCCAGTGGCGCCTTTAAGACCAACCAAGTTTCGTTTTATTCAAAGTGTAAGCTTTCGTGTGCAAAGCACACCACTTCAGACAAATTGGAATAAAATCTCCTCAAGGGATACTTACCAGAAAAGAGGAGGGGGGGGGAGCAGCCATTAGGAGGAGCCACTCAGAGCCAAGACACACATGTAGAGCTGAAAGTGGATCAGGTGGCCACAATGGATGGCAGCAAATTAGCACGTAAATGCAAGAGTTAACAAAGAGATGTGAGAATGAAGCTAGAGTCTAGCAGTACCCCCTAGACAAACCATGCTCATAGAATCATAGAGTTGGAAGGGGCCATACAGTCCATCTAGTCCAACCCCCCGCCCAATGCAGAACCAGCCTAAAGCATCTCTGACAAATATTCGTCCTGCCTCTTCTTGAAAGCTGTCAGTGACGGGGAGCTCACCACCTCCCTAGGCAGCCGATTCCACCTCTGAACCACTCTGACCGTGTTTCCTAATAGCCAGCCAATACCTTTCTGCATGTAATTTAAACCCGTTGCCTCGGGTCCTATCCTCTGCTGCCAACTGAAACAGCTCCTTGCCCTCCTCCAAATGACAGCCTTTCAATTACTTAAAGAGAGCAATCATGCCCCCCTCCAATCTCCTCTTCTCCAAACTAAACATTCCCAGGGTCCTTAGCCTTTCCTCATAGGGCTCAGTCTCCAGACCCCTGATCATCCTCGTCGCTCTCTTCTGCACCCTCTCGATTTTGTCCATATCCTTTAAAAAAAAAAATAGCAAGCCAGGTGCAGTCGACGGCCACTCCCACCCTTGTCCTCCGCCTTCCACACTGTGTACATGTGAGAACAGAGACTCAGGAGATTTTATTCCAAATTGTCTGAAGAAGTGTGCTTTGCGCACGAAAGCTTACACTTTGAATAAAACTGTGTTGGTCTTACAGGTGTCGCTGGACTCAAACTTTGTTCAGCTGCTTCAGACAAACACGGCTACCCACCTGAACTTGTAACTAATACACAGATGAACAACTAGAACTAGAATGGAGATGGCATCCAAAGGAAAAAAAAATGAAATTATATCTAGAATGAGCGATAACAGAATATGCTGTTGCCTGGTGAAACCTAAGATTCAGAAAGGAGAGCACCATTAGTAATCTTCAATTTTTAAAAGGAAACAAAAAAGATTTGATCAGATCTAGACAGATTCTCATCTATTGGCTATAACTTGTGACTTAGCTGTGTACTGGTTATTGTACATTCGTCACCCAGCTGTGTCCTACTGTCAGTTGGCCTCCTCATGATATTGATATATCCCCCCCCCCCAAGGATATGTTTAACAGAATTGCTTTGAGAAACACAAGATGACAAGTGCTCATCAACTCAATCTGACTTAGTTCTTCAGACTCCCTTCCTGAAAACAGAGGTTATGGCGTGGGTACATGCCCCACACTTTCCACAATGAACACATAAGCAAAAAAAAATCATTGAGCTTCTCTGCCATCTCCCCATCTTCCTTTAGATTTTCCGGGCTTACTCAAGATTGCAACAGCAATTTTGATGCAGTAATTCAGAGCAAGAGGTGTCAGTTGCTGGAGACTGTTAAACAAAATATTGCAAGAGTGCTAATGATTTAAGCATGTTTTTATTTTAAGTTGAAAAAATCTTTATGTCTGTATCCTTTATAAAGTTTATATCTCCGCTACCTGGCATTACATTTTATGACACTCATGGCCGGGCCCAACAAGGTTTCAGTTATGTCAGATCCAGCCCTCATAACAAATACATCTTTATTGCAAGGGAAGTCTGATACATTTAGAGGTTTGCTTTGTTAAGAAAGGGATGACTAAAAAGTGTAATACTTTATGCAACTGTATACTGCAAGGAGAACATGGATGGGAAATTGTTCTTTGTTGTTGCATTTTGCTGTCAAGTCACAGCTGACTTCTTGTGACCACACAGAGCATTCAAGGCAAGAGACGTTCAGAGGTGGTTTGCCATTGCCTGCCTCCGCGTCACACCCCTGGTATTCCTTGGTGGTCTTCCTTCCAAATACTGACCAGGGCCGACCCTGCTTAGCTTCCAAAATCTGATGAGACCAGGCTAGACTGGGCTATCCAGGTCAGGGCAAATTGTTCTTAGTCCTCTTACACATAACTAGATCAGAGTTTGATCACTCAATCAGATTGACTGGCAGTGAATTCAGGTGAGAGAAAAAGTCCACATAATGCACTTATGGAATTCACTACCCAAAACATGGAGGTGGCCACAGGTTCAAGCGATTGGGGGGGGGGGGAAGGAATTTTTTATCATCTATGATAGCTAACAGAACTTCCAAGTTCAGAAACAGCACGCCACAAAATGCCAATTGCTGGGCTGCAAGAAGTGATAGGGTGCCACTGCTTTCGTGCCCTGCTAGTGGGTTTCCCGGGAGTACATGGTGACTGCTCTCAAGAGTTAAAGGTTGGAATCCATAAACCGTGGGTGTGATCCAAGCAGGGCCTCTTATGCTCATACATGCCTACTAAGAGATCAGTGTTTATTGTCTCCAGCTTTCTAAACAGGAAAAGAAAAAACAAAGGCACAAATTTTGAAACTGAACCACTTAAACAAGACTGCGGAGCCTACACGCTTCTTCCCAATGAATGTAGTGAAGACTAAAAGGGATACAGATCCTGTGTTTTAAGTATGATTGAAGAAATCCGAGAGGGGGGAAAAAATTATACTGAAGAGAACTGTACCATAATACATCAGTCAACTAGTTAGGGGACTGTGGCATAAGAACAGGTGTCATATCTGATAAAGTATCAAGTATTAATTTTGGTAAGGGCAAAAGGAGTATTTCTTAAAGATGTATTTGTTAAAGGTTTTGCTTTAAATCTGTTCTTAAATTTTCCTAAAATGTATTTTGTAAATCTTTATATACATTATATACATTATATACATTATATAAATTGAGGGAGTAAGAGTAAGAGATTCCAACTACCATATCTTAAAAGGAAATAAATATTGGTAGCATTAATTGAAAATTAGATTGATTGGAAAAATATTATATAGGTGTACAGGTGTTGGTTCCTATTTTGGAAACTAGAAATGATAATAGAAGCAAATATGTCAGGTATTAATCCAGGGAAAATAAATAAACTTGGCTGTTTAAGGTTTTTTGTTTTTCTGGAGATTAAATAATAAGTAAAGGGTTTAGATATGTTAGAAGGTGATAGTCATATCCTAAATCGTTACAAAATTAATTATTAGGAAGTCAGATTAATGAGATGAATTTATTGGAGAAATTTGGAATTTATGGTTTATAGGCGAGAAAAATAAGTCTGAATTAAGTATGTTATGTTTATGGGAATATTTTGGAATCTAAGATGAACAAAATCTTATTGTCTATATGTTATGTCTTGTTATGTCTTGTCTTTGTGTGTAAAAACCAATAAACATAAACTATAAAAACAAACAATCACCTGGCATTGTTTCCTTTTTTGCTCTGTGAGAACTGTATAATAATTTGGTAAGAACATGTCTGGTTTTAAGTCGTAAAACTATCTCCACCCATTCTCCACCTTGGCCTCAATGGTAAGAGCCGTGGGGTTTTGATGATACATAGGATTAACAGCAATAAAAGTAATTTTATAACGATATAATCTTAGAAATAACAGGACATTAGTATTTCACTAGATTTTTTGGTGTTCTAAATGAAGGAAAATGACAAAATGTGAGGAACAGAGGAAGGAAAAAGTACTCAGTTTTAAATTTCATCTACGTTGCTGGAGTTAGAAGCAGTGTTCCCTCTAGGCTGAGTCAGTGTGAGCTAGCTCAGTTTTTTAGCCTCCGGCTCACACATTTTTGTCTTAGCTCAAGAAGGAGGGCTCCAGAGCAAACTAATTTATGCAGTAGCCAAATCGCTTGCTCACAACTTTAATGCTGGTAGCTCACAAAGTAGAATATTTGCTCACAAGATTCCACAGCTTAGAGGGAGCATTGGTTAGAGGATAACCATGTGAAAAGATGGCAAAAAGATTTTGTATATGGAATTAGTCTAGATGTGTGGATGTTCTCAGCGTCAAACAGTTCCTTGTTGTCAGTCAGCCTACGCTGAAAGAATGCCATGAAAGTGCAAAACCAACAGCATCTATAGAAATTGTCTTGGATATACAAAAAAAATGAAATTGTTTTGTAATTTTCAAAAAGCCTTGTCCTGCTACATTTGGTGGAAGCATGTTTGCGTTTAAAGGGCTTTGGAAGATGGTGTCAAAAGTATTATAACCAGGTAAAGAACTCCCAGAGACATTATTGCATAATGATTTCCAAAGGAAGGAAAACCAAAATAACCACACAGGATATCTAGTTTTTGCAAGATATTGGAAAGAGCTACCTCAAGAGGAATTGGTTGAAGCATTGAAGCATTTGTGTAAACTAATAGAGTGGATAAAAATATGAAAAAGTGGAAGCAATTTTGAAAACCTACAATTTGTTATACTGAACACAGCATTATAGAGGTGTGAAAATGTTACTTAATAGGAAGGAGGAGGACTGGATAGTAATAGTGTTTACTGAAAAAACTAATTTGATTTGTGAATTCAATTGCTTACCTTGTATCAGTGTATTTGAGTTTTGTGGTGCTGCTGTATCCATAAAACGAAAGGGAAAAAACTTGGATCCAAGACAATTTTTAACTAGCGAGAACTAAAAAAAATTAAGATGACATTTATAAAGTGAACACATGAAGCTGTTTATTAGAAGTGAGCGTTTGGATCTACCTGAGCTGAAAATATATCCAGAAAACCCTTTTTCAACTATATTTCAGCATCTCAAAGGTATCCGGGATTTTTCAGGAAAACTGGGAAAAAACCTTGAATTTATTCAAGAATTACCAGGTAGCTCCAAAAAACAGTGGAGAGGCTGGAGAAGATTGCTCCCCCCTCTCAGCTGTTTGATGGGCTTCTAGTGCAGTCCCTTTAAAGTTCTGCAGTTTAAAGGGACTGCAGAAGTCAGCCCGAGGATCAACTGTGCCTGTGGGAAGTAGAGTGCTCAGCTTCGAGCTTTCTCGTACAGCAGAAGAATCCAGCTCGAGGATCAGCTGGGCCGGTTCTGGAGCAGACTATTCTTCGCCAGCTCAGCTTTAGGTGTGCAATTTTCGCCATTTTTTCCCTTCTCGGGTCTCTTGCCACCTGCCACCCCCAATTTTGGGATTTCCAAAAAAATCCTGGATCTGAATACTGTACTGGTATTGGGATCTGGGATTTTTCAGGAATCCCCCAAAATTTTCTGGTCCAACAGACCCAAACCAAAAAATAAAAGAAATTGCATACCCTTACTGCTTATAGTGAATCAGATCACCGAGCTCAAAATTGCCTACTCAGATGGGCATTGGCTCTCCAGGTTCTCAGGCACAGGTCTTTCATATCACTTGAGTGTTTGGTGTAGTGGTTAAGTGTGCGGACTCTAATCTGGGAGAACCGGGTTTGATTCCCCACTCCTCCACTTGCACCTGCTGATGTGACCTTGGGTCAGTCACAAGCTCTGGCACAGCTGTCCTTGAAAAAGAGCAGTTTGTGTTAGAGTTGTCTCAGCCCCACCCACCTCACAGGTTGTCTGTTGTGGGGAGGGGAAGGGAGTTTGTGAGCCGCTCTAAGACTCCAAGTGAAGGGCGGGGTATAAATCCAATCTCTTCTTCTTCTTAACTGGAAATGCCAAATACTGAACCTGGAACCTTCTGCATGCCAAGCATTGAGCCACAACCCATTACCAGTCATTGTAGACAAACTAGTGCACAATTTGGGAAAGCTGAATATGTCTAACCTCCAAGGCAAGCTCAGCCACTAGCACATCACAATGAATCACACTTGTTTTATACTCCCAGAACAACCTGCCCGAAGCACAAGTGGTAGGCAATCGCTGAGACTCCAAATTACAGTAAGAGTTCTTCTTCCTCCCACCCTTCAGGAAACACATTTTGAAGGTTTCTCTCAGAATGAACCAACATGTTGACCTGAAAAGCCAGCCACGCATACAAGCTTGCTTATCAGCATTTCAAGGAATATGGACATGCAAATTCCCTTATGGTTAAGTGGTAAGGATTTTTCTGCAGAAGCTATATTTTTTCTCCTTCCAGACAGCTGCCATCATCTGCCAAGAAAACATCATTTTAGTAGAGAAGACGAAGTGGTATGAAGTGTGTGCTCATCATCATGTTATGCCTCTACGACACTCTTTTCTCCAGTCATGACCCCCTTGTACACCCAAAACATTGGTGGGCCCCAGTCAAAAGCCAACTGGTTACTTCTGAGTTAGGCAGTTGAGTGGGGCGCAAGGAATTCCAGGGCAAAATTAATACACTTTGAGAGGCGAAAATAAGCTATCATTTTTAGGCAGCGGTACAGATGATGTAGAGAGGACTGGGTTTAATTGGGGGCCAATTTAATTTTTGTTACAAGATACAGAAAGGCTTAAGGTTTTGTGTTTTAGCTTTAGGTATGAGCCTATTGCTTTCTGCTATCTTTTATCTTAAGCTCTTTGACAACAATCCCATCTGGTTATCAAGCAATGCTTGCAACGCAATTCAAGCTTGCCTGTAGGGCACTGGCAGCATTAACCAAATTTTCCTAGAGAAGAGGCCCAAGATGCTTATGTGGGTAACTACAATTGTTTCACATCGGCCTACTGCTAATCGGAGAGAATAACTCAATGGCAAAGAGGTCAGGGTGATTGCTGAATGACACTTTGCAACAGTCGTAAGGAAACCATACCACCTTTTTGTCCATTACCAAATCCTACATTTCTAATTGGAAACAGATCCACTCTCAGAAACTGAGGCTAACAATGAAACAGGAGCCTGAATGGTAAGTTAGCCACCCCGTGAAGTTCTACCTCGTGGGGTTTGCAGCAGAAGAGACAAGCAGAGGTTGTTTGTTGGTGGTCTTCCTCTGCACAGCGGCCCCAGGTTTACTCGGCCGTCTCCCATCCAAGAATCAACTCTGCTTAACTTCCAAGTTCTGATGAGATTCAGGCTGCTCTGGGCTATTCAGGCTGCTCAGCTATGCAATAACCAAAGCTGTTTGTTTCTCTTATTGTCATGCCTTAGACCAAAAAAAAAAAGTTAATCACAAGTTGCGAAGGCCCTTCAAGCCCCGCTGAACATTAACCAAGCTGCATAAGCAGATGTCACACAACCTTTGGATGTTTATGGCAAATGAAATTCAGAGCTTCACAACACAGAGAGAGAAACATATTCCCAGAGCTGCAGCTAGGACAAATGAGAAAAAGAGAGACACCAAACATCTCTGGACAGAGACTGGAATCGATCTGGAAGTTAAAGTGTTTATTGATGTGTTTCCAACTTTTTACATTCCCCACAGACCACACTAAGGAGTTTGCAGGTTAAGTAAATCTGTGCATAGTGGGAAGAAACATGGAAGGGGGTGTGAAGGAGAAAGAAAGCTCACTGGAAAATAGAAAAGAACACACCACAGGTTACCAGAACCTCCAGATTTTTTAAAAAAGCTGTGAGCATTAACACCAACTATACAAGCATTACAGAGACATTATGGTGAACGAACGACCCCTCCCCGACACTCCAGTGCCCACGGATTCCCTTCTCTTCTTCACAGCTCGGTCACCCCTTCCTGCCTCCCGGCATGAAGAGCAAAACTGCAACACACCCTGGATCCTCGATCCCATTTGGTGACTCCCAGGCACGTTAATGGCTCCAGTTATGCACCCCCAAGTGTCCGCCCCAGCTTTCTTGGGAAGACATGTCACAGCCTCCGAACCCTGATTCATCATGGAGGAAGGCGGCTTAGGTGCAGGGGAACAAGGGGGGGGGGGTTTGCTTACACTAGGCGAGGGGTGCTAAAAAGGAGGTGGGCGTAAGCGTGAAAAAGGGGGTTCGAATTCAAAATTAAAAGACTTCCGACTCTACAGCGGGGTGGGGCTCCACAAGCAAGGAGGCAAGGTGTGCGATCCCGATATGCACGAACTGTGCCAAAATATTGCAATCGAAAGGCCCAAGAGTGGCAGGAGCCTTTCTTGCTTCTGGAGGATCTAAGATTTCTGAAAACCAAGCCACATAGCAGCAGAAACACAAAGGTCACCGGCATCTGATCATTTGTGTAACGTTTCAGTTATTGGTACAGATTTCCTTTCCAGGATATTCTTTTCCCCAAAGGCCATAAACCCCAATTTTTCTTCTTTTTTTTGCAGCTTTGGTCATAACTAATTCATTTAAAAAAAAAAAAGGAATACTGCTTTATATATATATAAAAGCCAGGATGACCAAAGAGCCACACGTGTCCCATTTATACAATGCAGTTGGTACAAATGACCTCGAATATACAAGTAGTGTATCAGAAATAAAACAAAACATTTCTCGTTTATATAGAGAGCTTGTTAATCAGACAATACAACAGCACTGGGATTTTTCTCTCTCTCCTCCTCTTTAAAGTTCCTTAAAAAAAGAAAAAAAACTACATCTCAAATATCTGCAATAGATCCATTTCCCCCATTTAAGATTTATATATCATATATTGTTATATTATCATTTCCTCGCCCATTTTAAAAGAATGGAAATTGCAACTCTACAGTAGTAATTTAAGTCTTAATGATCCAGGAGTTCTGAATGTAAGATGAAGTCCTCTTCAAGCAACAGTTGGTCAGTAGTAGATCCAAAAAATTCTGGACCGCTTTTTGGCCCTCCCCTCCCCCTCTGCCAGGCCAGGACAGCTGCAGTTTCAACACCCTTTAAATCTGCATCTGCTCCAAGTATTTGTATGTCGGGTTCTCGTAGCCGTGGTTCTGCATCTTGTTCAGATGCCGTTCCTCTGGGGTGAGCATTGGATCCACCTTCAAAACAGAGGGCTGTCGGTCAGTGGGCCCAGAGGCACAAAACAAGCACCCCAGCTAACATCCAAGCTAACAACCTCCCCCCACACCCCTTTTGGACATCCGCTCAGGGCCTCTTGCAGGTGCCCAGTCCCAGGCAGTGTTCCCTCTAAGTGTGAGCTAGCTCACAGTTCTTTAGCCTCCGGCTCACACATTTTTGTTTTAGCTCAGGAGGGATGGCTCCAGAGCAAACTGATTCATGCAGTAGCCAAATCGCTTGCTCACAACTTGAATGCCAGTAGCTCGCACAGTAGAATTTTTGCTCACAAGACTCCACATCTTAGAGGGAGCATTGGTCCCAGGATGGTTCAGTTAGCTGTTATGCGGGAAAGGGCTTTCTCAGTGATGGCTCCTACCCTGTGGAATGTGCTCTCTGATGACGCCCCTGCCCTGTAGGACTTGCTTAGTTTCCCCAAAGGCTTGTAAGGTCAAATTGTTCAGGTTGGCCTGTGGAGGTTAGCCAGATGCTCTGGGCTGGTTTGACAGAGGTGACGAGTCATATATTTAAATATTTTATATGTATTATTTGATGTTGTTGGATTCTAACTTGTTTATTATGATGCTGTTTAAGTGTTGCAGCAACTAAAAAAATCTCTTTCAATGAATGCATGAATAAGTGAATAAATAAAGGGCTAAACTAATATGCTTATATGCTCATTTTTACATGTATGTCACACAAGACTGAGCAGAAAAACGGGTTTCGGTCACGAGTCTGGAATTCTACTATTCTGCTCACTGATTCATGCCGCTAGGATGGATAGATTTTGTGCATGTACTCAGACAACCCCTCCCCTTCAAAGCAGCTAAGTACTAATTCTAAAGCTTGCAGAGAATTGGTCAGACTACATACGGGCCCTGTGACTAGTGAACGTTCCTCGAGAGAAGGGGCAGGGCTTCTAGCCATCAAGATACACAACCCCTCCCCTTCAAATCAGCTAAGTACTGATTCTAAAGCTTGCAGAGAATTGCTCAGACTACATACGGGCCCTGTGACGAGTGAACGTTCCTCGGGAGAAGGGGCAGGGCTTCTAGCCATCAAGAGAACAATGCCTCAGCCTCCAATATACAGGGGGACACCTCCAGTGGAAAGCAGCCCGTTGTCATTCCTTTCCAGACCGGCTTCATTTGCTTCTGCCCTCCCATGATGCTCTGACTGTGCATCTCACAGCATCTCTTACCTCTACAATTCCATGGCTGATGGTTCCATATTGCCGCCTCCTCAGCATCACCAAGCTGATGACTATTACTGTGGCTATGGCAACTGCTATCACCAGGAGGCCAATGAGAGCACTGCTGCTGAAGCTGAAGTCGTCACGCAGGGAATTGGAATTTTCCTGCAATGAGAAGAGGGAAGATGTGGAAGGAGTGAGGGGCCTGGATACTGACACCGACCATGAATCGCAGGAGACACCTTCCCTTGGCCATCTGCTGGGACGAGCATGAGATGCAACTGGTTATGACCTTGCCCTAACCTCCATCACTCGGCAAAGGGCACCTTTCAAAAGTATCTTCTCAACTATGTGGCCCATGTACATTATATGTGCCCCGTGAAGCACAAAATGGGACTATTTCTAATTGAAAACTCCAGATCTGTAGCTCGTGGCAACATTTCACAGCGGCTTCAGGGGGGACAAATGGACATACGGCAACAGCCGGCACGGACACAGGAGTTTCCGTTCCCCTAACAAGCAGCCCAGGTCGGCAGCCACATACATACCGGCTCATCCACTAGTCCACCGACTCGCTCAGGATTGAAAATCATTTCCTTGACATCAAGGGTCTCATCAATTACCTGAAAACAGTCATGAAGGAGTTTTACACAAAGAGCTGATAACAAGGAGGAATTATTGGGCGTGGGTCTGCATGAAAGCCCTCTTCTAGTCGCAAAAAGCTGCTGCCTCTGCTGAACCAATAGCTAGTCAACGCTACAACTTGATTACACACACAAACCTTATGCCCACAATGAGACGCTTTGTGCTTTCTGACTCTGAGAAGCCAAGTGGAATCTGGTTAAAGCATGTTTATCATGAAACCAGTAAGGTATGGCATATATTTCAAAACAACTACCTGGACCCGTAGCCAGGATTTTGTGGCTTGTGGGGCAATTTTTTTTCTGGTGGGGCTGAAGTTCTCAGTGCAGAAAGAAAAGCCATTAGCCAGTAGAAAGCTGTTACCAGGACATATCTCTAAATTGCAAGGTGTCAACCACTTCAGGTGACGGTCCTCAGCTGCTGCAAGTTAATCACTTCTGCCAGCCTAAGCAACAATTCTGATAACAAGCTGGCAGGTGGGGGTGATGACTTCTATAGTCAAGAAAGGTAACACTTAGCAGAAAAACTCTCTTCAAGGAGACCAGTTTCTTGACACAGAGTAGTTATGCCAATAAAGGTTTATGCGAGAGACACAGAGTTAGAAGGGATCCTAGAGGTCACCTACTCCAAACCCCTTGCTCAGTGTGGGAATCAGTCAACTACAGCACCCCACTCTGCTTAAAGGAGCGCAGGTCTTTAAAACAATGTTTTAAAATGATTGAAAAAAGCATTTACAGGAGAAATTCTTGTAGGGCTGTGCCTTTAAGAAAGGGGGCAGAGCCCCCCAAAGCCCCACTGTAGCTACGGGCCTGCAACTGCCCCGATGGGGTGGGGGGAATGCTTTGTGTTTATGCAGATGTCAGTTTGTTACACCCGTTCTCGAAAAAAATCAAGGCATTTGAACAGAGTAAACTTGGTTCGACTGACTGAAACAGTTTTCACCTCTTGACTACGATCAAACATCCGCTGCTTTCGATGAAGAGTCCAGCAGGGCTCACGACACACACTGCAGCTGAGCTGGCCTTGGCACCCACACTCAAACCTACGGCACGGCCATTTCCCTCCCTACGCTCCTCCAAAGCTGTTGTCGACGCTCAAAGTGAGGTGGCAAAAGCTGCCAGTCAAGCCTGTGTCAGAGCATCGAGCGGTTCTGTTCTGCCATCACCCACTGGTGAGACTTTCCGCCACAAGGGCAGGGGGCTTTGCACTCTTCATCCTCCTACCCTTCTGTCGCTAAGATATACGGGTAGCTTGCGGCAGCTGTAAGCCAGAAAGCTGTTACCCCCCCCCCCCCCCCCGCACCATATGGGATAATGAATATAGTGACTGTCAAGCAAGCAGCAGACGGCAGTGGAAGCAAGCCGCAAAAGCTGAAAGATGGTCCCCTCCAGCTCAAACCTCCCTGCACAGTGCACACGCGGAGGACGTACCACGTTCTCGTCCAGCTTGTTCTTGCTGTTAATCACTTTCTCTTCCGCTCCAATCAGTCCGTCAAGGTCAGCTATGCCAGACCCTGCAGAGAAGAAATTATGTATGAGGAAAGACTCCGCGTCAGACCTGCGTGGCACGGTGCCCAGGCAGTGCTGTCACCCCTACTGCAAGCACTGCGGTTCAGAGTTTCTTTGCCCTGGGCACGGATCAGAAAGACATCGATGTGCTACGCTAGTGTGAGAGATGACGGGCAATGGAAGGGTGCCTGGCCAGAGAGGTACAGTATAGGAATGGTGAGATTCCTCAGGATGTTCAAGTGCACACTTATTACCCAAATAAGTATGACATGGCAACAAAGCAATGAGAGGACAACGCAGGAATG